AGCATAAAGGAGAAGGGAGATAGGAGATAGAAGTTGTCCTTTCAATTTTTACAAATAAGGATTTTTTTCCCCTTGATGCAAGACATCTAAAGTTAACTACTTTTTTGGGGAAAAGGAAACAGGTCTCAGAGCCTATATTAATATTGATTAAAGTTAGTTCACCTTGTTTAACCCCTAGTTTCTTTTATTCATTCAACAGTAATTATTTGTTGGTTTTCTACTGTAGAGCAGACACTGAATTATGTGCTGGGGATACAGTGGAGAGGAAGGCTGGTTCCCTGCCATTTCGGAGTTTATAGCCTAGTGACTGAAAAAAAGTCCCTGCAGTTGCCCCCCTCAGATCTCCAGGTTGTCAGCACATGCCTCATCACACCAACCCTGTTACCAGACACTGCCCTGGGATGAGGGTCTCTGAGCTTGCTACCACCAAAACTGCCAGACCTTGACAAATATTTCCACGAAATCAACCCCTGAATATCGGCCTGGGCCACAGGCCCAGAACCACAGAGAGAGGAGGCCCTATCTGAGAGGAATCATGTTTTAGACCCAGGAGAACTTGAATGAATCATCCTTTCCTTGCATGGGAGTGATTTTCACTTCATTTAATCACCTTCCCCCCTCCTTAACAATCTGAGTCTTCAACACATGGCTTTACTAAAACAAGACTGAATATTGTCAGCTCTGAGAGGACCCCACAGACCGTAGGAGCTCTTCGGGGTGGGGGCGTGAGAAGGACAAGGAGCCTGTTCCTAGTTTTGCATTAGCTCTGCTGAGTACCCTGCATGGGGTCAGATATAAGGTGATGGTGGAGCCCAGTGTGGAGGACAGCAGGATGACTTGAACGAGTTGGGGACAGTCTTCGAGCTTGATCATTGGCTGAGGGCGTGGCTGACTGTAATCTACAACCAATGGGCAAAGGTTTTATTTTTATTTCACTGATGAAAAATAAAACTGAGACTTAAGATTTATGAGAATTATGAGCAAGTATGTTTCCAGATGTTATAAGGAAAAACCCTGTTACCAATCTAATCAATTGATTCACATAACTTTTTATCACAAAAAGTAGGTCTTCCTTTGTAGAAAATATAAAAAAACAAAGAAACAAAAACCCCCAAAAGTACTCATAACCCTATCACCAAAGGATCATTACTATTAACACATCTCCAGTATTTTGCATATTATTACAGGCATACCTTAGAGATATTGTGGGTTCCGCTCCAGACTGCTGCAACAAAATGAGTATCGCAATAAAGCGAGTTATAATCGTTTTGCTGGTGGAGGGTTTTGCCTTCAATTTGTAAAAAAAGCTACATCTGTGAAGCACAATAAAGCAAAGCAAAATAGAACAAAATGCTTTTTTTCCAAAATAAGATTTTATTCTGCATATTATTTTATAACCTGCAATTTTTTTAGCAATTGTATATTGAGAACATTTTTTCCTGCCATTCCATGGTATTCTAGGACATCCTTTTTGGTAGCTGCAGTGTATATTCTATGGGATATATAGACACATGATACGTTTACGTACGTAATCTCTTTTTATTGGACATTGAGGTTGATTCCCATTTCTCTTCACTACAAAAAAACAGTCTTGTTTTTAATTTAGAAAGATCCCTGCCTGCTTAGTTTAAACTAAGCCCTGACCCCATGGAAGGCAGGGCTTCAAGTTGAAGAATTGGCAGGTTAGGGGGGCCAAGGCGTCTGGAATCCACTCATTCTCTCCTGCCTCTCTTGTCTGACTAATGAGTTCCCGTTTGGAAAATGGTGAACATAAGTTTCATACCTCCCATAACCTTGAAACTTCTCAAACTTTCAGGAACACTTAAGGAGAAGTCTGTGTTGAATGATGTGGAAGCAAAGTCAGGGGACCACTTGAGTGTGGGAGACCTGTCTCCTTTCACTGCTTCAGAAATGGAATTTTGGCTTTAAAATTTCCCTGTTGTTTCTCCGTGCTTTCTCCCAGCAACTTCCACCCCAAATTGACCACCCAAAGCACTAGTTTGTCAGATCTTATTCTATTGAGAGAGAGGGTGATTTTTGCCCCTTAGTAGTCATGGCCATAGCCACAACCACACCTGAGTTCTCCTCCAACGTAAAGCTTTGGTCTGCTCCAGCCCAGCAGGTAAAGCAATTCATCAAGCTGCAGAATATCAGAAGCATAAGGGACCACAAAGATGATCTAGCCCCATACCCCAAAACCCCATGTTATAGAGGACAGTGATTTGACCAGTGTCATTCAGTTAGTGGCAGAGCTGGAACAAAGGGCAGTGCAGGAGGCCTTGTGGCCATAGGGTTAGTTATGGTGTCTTTGGAGACAGTCTGCCTAGGTCAATCCTGTATTCAACATTTCTGAGCTGTGTGACCTTGGGAAATTTATTTAACATCCTTAAGTCTCAGTTTCCTTATCTATAAAATAGAGATGGTACTTAATAATACTTCATAGGCTGTTGTAAATTAGGTGACATATAAAAAGAGCTTGTACATAGTATTTCCCCAGTAAAAGTTATGACTATGATAACAAGGGTTATTTTTGCTGTAGCACTGACCCCCCTTTCCAGGTCACACTCCTCTCCACTTGATGCTTGGGTTGGAACCACAATTCATTACCAGCAGCTGACAGGGGGATTACTCTTCAAATGGAGACTCCTTTAAGTAGGTTTGCATTTGGGTCACCCCAAAATTAACCTGCTCCCACTGGACACCTCTTGATAACCACCAAGCCAGTGGCATTTGTATGGAAAGAGTAGAGCATCCTGCATGTGCTCTGAGACAGAAATGTAACCACAGTGCCAAAGGAAATTAACAACACGACAGCCTAAAATCATAGTGCAGGGATGTACAAGACTTAGAGATAGACACATTAGCTCGGAATGGCCTCTTTTCTCCTTGACAAACCCCTTAGCTTGTATACAGCGCTCTCACCAAATTTCTTTTCTCTTACATGTGTAACTTAAAGTAGTTCTTGGAATTAAAAACATTTAGGGTTTTAAAAAACATGGCTTTAATTTTTTTTTTTAAGCTGAGCCATCCTGCCACCTGTTGGCAGCTCAGCAGCTGCTCAGCTTGGGACAGGAATCAAACCGCTGTTGCTCAGAGCTCACACCCTTGAGTGAGCTCTTAACCAACTGAGCCACTCGGCCCCAATATGACTTTGATTTCTTAAGACCTGTAGTCCTAGTTGTATAAAGAAATTTCAGTAATATTCTCTATCTCTCTTTCTCATCATCATCAATCATCTATCACCTATCTGGGTTTTTTTTTAAAGCAAACCAGCTTTAGCTAATTTCCATTTAAGCCTCATTTTACGGTTAACTTATGATGCCAGTGCCTGCATCCCAGCCACACCCACCCTAAGGACAGGTCACAACAACAGTGCATCTGGGAAGAGGTGAGGAGGTGTGGGCGCCCAGGATCAGAATCATAAATTCTCCCCAAGCTGGGCTGGGAAACCGAAAACTCCCTTCTTTCAGATTTTGCCAAGCCGCCTTCTTATTTTATAGGATTGGGGGGAATATTTCTGATGATTTAAGAGATATTTGTTTCCTTTATCTGAAGAAACATTTTAAAGTGAAGACTTGTCTAGCCTTTCAGAGCACTCAGGGTGCTTTGCTGAGTGGAGTGTGGGATTGATTGGGTTTGAGGCCACGGGCACATGGACAACTACTGTGGATGAGAGACAGATGCTGGCCAAATGGAAATCATCCACTGGGTCCTGTTTCCTTTCATTCTCTTTTTCTCTTCCCTCCTCTCCCTCCTCTTCCTTTAATGAAATCAACTTATATTCAATAACCAAAATGAAAAACTCCCAAACTTGCCTTTTCCCACTCAAAACTAAACAATAAAATTAGATTATGAACTAAGTAGTGAATTTACTTCTTGCTCAATAAGTACAATGCTTTAACTTAAAAAAAATTTAATTTTTCCTTATGCTCGTAATTCGGAGGAGAGAGATTTCTTATTTCTTTCTATTGTGACTCTGCCTGTCTATTTAGAAAAACCTCAAGTTGTAATTTCATTTTCTTTTCACTCTCGATAACTGTCCAAGTGGTGGCTTAAGCCCTAATTAGCCCTAGTTGATGTTTAGTCCTGGCTAAATTTGCTTGTTTGCTCATCCCCAGGAGTAAGTCTGTGGGTGGCCACATTTTTGTTGAATGGATGTTTTGTTTTGTAGGAAATACTTGGGAATAAAACTCTAGAATGGGGTGAATGAAACTGGGAGCCTTACTTTACTCCACAAAATATAATAAGAAGAAAAAGTCCCATCACCAGTATAAATTGATTTGCCACAGGGAGCACAATGGGGCACGGAGGATGAATAGCAGCCTTTTCCTGTATGAGGACCATTCCACCCCATGCAGGCCCCATCCGTGGTCATGAGTGTAGAGAGGCTTCTGCACTTACACACATAGGTCTGGAGCTGAAGTCAGGGCCCCGTTTTAATGAACTGACCACATGTGTGGTATGCAGGTGAAGAGTTAATATGTATGACCATGGTGTGTTCACCTGCGTAGGCACACTCCTCTGTCCAACACACAGTCTCTCCTGAACATGATGTCATTAGAACACTTCTTTTTTATTTTATTTGTCCAAAGTCAAACATTTACTCTTTCAGCTCACCAGTATCTCGTAAGCCCAGTGCTGCAGGACTGGGACAAAGAGATGATGTTACAGTCTGGTTTCTATGGCAACAGAGGAGGGGTAATGAAAACCGAAATGTTGGGAACACCCATTCTGACAATTGTGACATAATTCAGGTTATTACAAGGACGTAACTACCAAAGAAGGAGAAGTGTCATTACCTTGCAGCTCATGTCGGCAAAAAGCTACACTGCACATTTCTCTTAGTTGGGCTGCTAAGAGGAAGGAAACATGAAACACACACACACACACACACACACACACACGCACGCATGCCTCGTTTTCTGCATGTAAAATGTGTGTGTTCTTTAAAAGCCAGTGGTTGGCTGGTTTTCCGGACATGATGTGGTTGAAGCTGTCATCGTAATGGAAATTCATTGCTGTAGCTATGGTAAATCGAGTTTTCTGCCTGTGCTGAATGCATTAGTCTAATGAGATGTTTGCAGCCGGAGAGCAGGGCTGCTGGAGACTAACTGTGAGCTGCTAACACACGGGTGGAAGATTAGCTTTTGCAATACTCGGTTTGCATGTACCGAAAGTCTTCTGTCTTCTGAGTCAACATTCCTGGCCTGGTAAAGAACCCGATCAGGGCTCTGGTGAACAAGCCGTAGGTAAGGGAGATACACAACCGGAGGGTGTGCTGTTCACATGGGAGCTTTCTCTTTCTACTGTCGGCATGACAGGTTACCTGTTTCAGTTTTTCTGGGTTGCGTGCCTACCTCTGTGGCAATGCATGAGTGCCCTACAGTAAAACCACTGAGGCTGGCAAGTCAACTTCAGTTCCTTCTACTCAGAATACAAGGTTTGATTTCTTGATCAGATCTCAGAGGGGAAGATGTAGTATAGAATTATATAGTGTATGAATTTGGGGTATATACATATTCGCTACTCTTTAACTCTGCATTTAAATATGTCAAAAGTTGTGTGAACTCAATGTAGAAAAAAATATAAACTCAAATAACCGATTAGTGTTTTTTTATGATGATTTTTGCTTTGCTTTGTTTGGTTTGTTACTTAAAAAATTTTTAGTATGTCTTGGGATAAAAATATTTACCTAAATTGAATTTTTAAAAGTGATGTGTTGTGAACATGCAAGAGTGGTTTTTTTAAATTGAATTTCATTGTTTTGTATACCAGATGGAATATTTTATGTGTCTTTCTGCTGGTTTTTCCTAATTAACCAGGATAGATGAGAACACTATTTATTGCTAGTTGCTGATGCTTGTTAGTTTGAGGGGAAAAAACCAGGGGACTGTGGAGTATCCTGAGCAGTTTTCCCAAATTCCAATCCACAGTCTCCTCCTTCCCAGTTGGGGTATTGTGTGACTTGAACCCGCTTCCATGTGTCCCTCCTGGTGACACAAGGCTTCCTCTCTAAGTTGCTTGCTGAGCAGGACAGGAGCGAGAGATGAGGTGCCAGCTTCATGTCAGTCATTTGACCGACGGTTGAGGCGCTTGGTCAAAGTTCTTCCCACCACCACCACCTGTAAACAGTAAACAAGAGATGGCTCACCGTGCTGTCCCTTGAGTCTCTGACCATACTTCAGAGCGACCACAATCAGCAGCTTCCTGAGAAAGTGGCTCTTTGGTTGGTCTGAGACATTGTGGTCTTTTGGAAAGAAGTCCAGGTGATTCAGAATTGAATTATTGGTTGTATGCTGTTTTTCTTCCTTTTCAACCAGAGGAATCATTTTTAAAGAGTGAGAGTCATAGTCGGGTTTTTATTTTTCTCAAGACTTTTTCTTTTTCAATAAAATAATATTTGGAGTGAAAGCATAAAAATAACTGTGAAGGAATTTACAGTGTGGGCAAGTAAACCATCTAGGGGTACAATATTTGCGCGGAGCACTCTTTGTATTGCTTGGTAGAACTAGCCTGAGAAAATGAGGTGGGTATGTGCGCAAAAGCAGCGGAGTGAAGACTACCAAGAAAAGCAGTAGTGATCGTGAAAACTCAAATAAAAGGTTAAGGTAAAGCCTTCAGTTTTAGGGAAGCTGGTGGCTTCAAAATCGTTACCTTTTCAACATATTTGTGACAGATATTTTGAACAACAGGAATGTGTTTTCTTCAGCTCTTTAAATTGCTTATGTGGAGGAACTGTGTCATATTTTGGTAAATTTATCTGTCTGTTTGATTTGTGGAGTTATAAGTAAAGTGCACACCTCACAAAACCCCGCTCTTTCATGTTTAACATGTTTATTACATTTCTTCCCTGTGCTACCAAAATTACTTTTATTCTGCTGCAAAAAGGGAAAAAAAGCAAATGAAGGATAATAGAAAGAAAAGACAACAATAAGAGAAACCATCGTCAACTGGTTTCGGTCATTTATTTGCTTTTGGTGGTGTGTTTTCGAGGCAAGTGAAACTAGCAGAAGCAGTTTCACTTTCTGGTTCTTGGGTTCTGGGGGCTGGGGTCGTAGGGCTCTCCTCCAACAGCAGGTAAAACAGGCAGCCCAGCTGCTGGAAAACAAGCCAACCCAAGGACTGTCGCTGTGCTGTAAGAACTTTTATCTTGAAAATTCGAAAAAGCATTGACTTTTTAAAATGTTACATATGTTTATGATAAAAATTCAAGCGATGCCCCAAAGTACCAAGGTAGAATTGAAAAAACACTTTTTAAACTTTAAATGATGTAAAAATCAGATTGCGTTAAAAAAAAAAAACCCAAAAAACTAAAACCCTCTCTCATAAAGTGGTGGCTTTTATTTTTTTTAATCTCAGTTTTGGATCTCAAAGACTTCAACAAGTTCAAGGCACACACTGCTGAAGTTCCCTTAAATCAAAAACAAGGAATGCTCAGAGAGAAAGAACCTTTACGTACATTTGGGGATTTAGATTTCAGAGTGTTTTGCAGGTGTGTTTACAGTTTGCGTGGCGGGAGGACACAGCACACAGGACACTCTCGCCCCTTAAGATACCTTAGAGCCAACACTGGGTCCAGACAGAAGGTGGCGGGGGGGCGGAGGCTCGGGACTCGCTCCCAGGGGCCCCGAGGCAGAGCTCCACGGGACGCTGTTCCTCCCCAGTCAGTACCCCTGGAAGTCTCAGCATCACACTGAAGCCAGGGGGCCCCGGCGGCGTGCTTACCGCAACCCACGGGTCCTAAAGAAAGCAGGAGGCGACAGTGCCCCTTGTCGGGCTGGGGGCTTCAGATTTCAATCACCTCCGGTTTCATCCGTGCCGCTTCTCTTCCCGGAGCCTTCTGCCTTTATTTGGGGATGGTGTGGGGCAGAAGGGAAAGGAGATGAAGAAAGACGCTCTTCCCGTCTAATTATCAAAGAACATAAAAATTTCGTCTAACATTTTGGAGATGAAGTTTGTGGAAGCCGTCCCTGTGGGTGTGAGAACACACGTGCTTCTTAATTTTGGTGGGTAAATTTGACATCTGTAGGAGGGAGCTTTGATTGTCTCCTTGGACATCTTAATTTCTTAATCCTGCAATCTCCCAAAAGTCTAGTTTGAGATTTACACGTTTTTTAAAAAATATTTTTGTTGCCTTCAAAGACAGACAGGTGAAGACAGACCAGGGGATTAAAAGCAGCTCCTGGGAGAAAAGTCAGATGGTTCCGTACATATATAATGTAACAGAAGCCACCACTGTGTCTAGTAAATTACTCTAAATTTTAATTAATGAGTCACAAAAGCCACACCATGAGCTTTAAAAAATTACCCCTTTATCAATAAGATGATAATTAACTTTGTCTGGAATTAGCAATTCTCTCAGCCCCGGGCAGTATGCAGCCTGGTAAGTTGTCTGGAATGCTGCCAATTTTTAACAATTGGTCTTTTGGCAAACCTACTGGATTTTAATTCAAACATCTTTTGTATTGTGACATTTTCCAACGTGGTTCAAATACTGTTCGGATCACCCAAATCATGGTAGAATTTCTGAGACTGAAAGAGTGGCTCAGAATGTTTGAGTTGTATTTGAATCTGTTGCTTTCTCTTTCTTTATTTTCCTTTTCTACCTTTCCGCCTCAAACCTCTGCCTTTGCAAAAGCGCCACTCTCTAGTCCTTGCTATAAATCTCTGTTAGAATCTGCTATAAATCGCCGTGGCGAATTCTGCATTTGTTGGTATGCATATACCTACTTTGAGTGCTTTGGCTGCAATCCTATGAGGTTCGAAGTGTTTTTCATTGTTGCATTTACCTCAGTTTCAGCTCTGGCAAAGGTTCATTCCTTAATATTTCTGCAAACTCTCACCGCCATTTGTCAGATGCAAGATTTAGATTGAGACTCGAAGCAGAGGAACTGCAGGCAGAAGGGCCATTTTGGACGTTCTTAGGGCTGTATAAAATTTGGCTTATTCTGATCCACATGTATTAATGTCTGAAAAGGAACAGGAGCACGGAGCATTTCAGAGCCTGCTGCACAATGAACCCTCTCAGACACACACACACACACACACACACACACACACACACACACACACACACAGAGCCCAGTGCTGCCTGTCACTGGTAGGCAGCTTTTAGGGGAGGGACACTGCTATTTGGCCACAGCAGCTGGAAGGCAAGTGGTGATGGGTGCAAATCACTCCTTTAGAAGTCAGACCTCTCTTCCTCCCTCTGGCTTTTCAAATGTTAGCATTAGTGGGCTCCTGCTTTTCTTATCCAAGAGACCTGGCTGGGACATGATGCTGGTGACAAAGCTTCCTTCTGGGTCAAGCTCTGTCAAGAACATCCCTGCCTTTGGGAAGGTGGAATGGAGATGACCAGCAAACAGGATTTGTGCATTCTGGAATAAATAAAAAAATTTCAATCAGAAGAGGCACGTTGCCCTCATTGAGGAGATAAAATACCTCTTGCTGCTTGCAATGATGACTTCCAGGACTACTATTATAGGACAGAAAGGAATTTATTACCCAGTGTCAGGTCTCACTTTGTATTAAGCTGAAAAGTCATGTCATTGAATCTATGTGACACCCCGGGGTAATGGGAATATTTGAGACCCACCTCGTGGACTTCTCTGGAATTGCTGTTGTTATGGTTTGATCTGTTGTGTTTTACAGAGAATCTGGTAGCACAAAACCCTATAAACTTCTCTGTACTCTCTAACCAACTCAGACATGTTCTACCTAAATCTTTGTTCGTAGGGAGGCAGATGAGCATTTCTTTTTCAGCAGCCACATTTATTAATCACACAATTGGAACTTGATCCCACTGCTGCTGAAATGCAAGATGATTGCATGCTCCTGCAGCCAGGCTGTGCCAGCCCGCTGGGGAACTGCCTGGGCTGACAAGTGGTGGCCTTACTGTCTCCATAGGGCATATGATACAGAAGCACAGGAGTGGGGTTGGCTGCTATGAAAAAATTAATGTGCCAGGGAAAAATGGTGTCAATGCTGTGCTTGGAAAGGTGGTAACGTTGTCTGGTTAGCCCCACGATGGTGACTCAACTTTTGGGAGCTGAATGTTTTGTAACAACAGCCTTTGCCCTTTTTCTCTTTCTGTGCTAATTATGATAGAGCAAAAGCCTTCATTCTTTTGAAAAAGAAACATATGACTTGAAAGTAATTCTAAAGAAATATGCCTTTCATGAAGACGGGTACTAAACTTGGGAACAAATGCTAAGCTGGGCAGAGCACAGAATTACACTGATTGGGTCTC